TGTGAGTGGATGAGTGTGCTTGACTTGACTGGAGGCAATCCTCGCCCGGGCTGCTATATACCTCTTTTTCTTGTCTTCTATCCACCCGCTTCTATTCTATATCTTCTATATTCCACCCACTTCTATCTATCTTCTATCCACTATCAATTTCGGAGGCAGGGGGATGGGGCAGACACCGCGCCTCCACTCTAGGCCTAAATATAGCAGGCTCCCGGGCAAAGTCAAAGTCCGACGGGAATTAGAAAAAAAAACAATCCCTCGATTTCATTAGCGGAGAGAGAGAGAGAGAAAATGGAACGAAAAAAAAAAAAGATCAAGAAAAAAGAGGAAGAAAGAAAAAGGGAGAAAGATGAAAAAAACAAAGAAGAAAAAAAGAAAAAAAGAAAAAGGGAGAAAGATGGAAAAAAAACAAAGGAAGAAAGGGCAGCGCGGGCGAGTCTAAAAAGTCTTAATTACAAGCCATAACAAGCGTAACTACCTTGTTCTGGCTGGGCGTCTAGGAAGCGCCAGGCAGAAGCTGATCTATCTAGGTGTGGCGCGTTATACATGTGTAGATACGGGGGTGTGTATAGTGCGAATCAGTAACGAATGTGTAATGTGTGAACAGCGTTATATGTGTGAATATATGTCGATAGTGTGAATAGCCGTAGAGTATTGGTAATATAGTATAACAGTTTATATATAGTTTAGACTAGGGTAACAAGTGGGCAATAGTTAACCTTGTGAGTAGGCCTACTTGTCACTATAGAAAAGACAATTTGCAAATACTTCTACGGTGAACACTTGGGAAATTGCATACTGCGTAAGCCTTGGACAGAGAATATGTACCATACAAGAGATTTCTTAGCTTGATTTTTCTGGTGTGATTTAGCGTGAGCACTAAAGATATCCCAAGTCGATATTCCTGTTTCAAAACGTGAATAATGGAGGGTAATGGACATATTGGATTTCACGAAGCTCCTAACCGGGGGGGGGGGGGGGTCATAAACCTGTAAATGTCGAAACGTAATACATACCATTTAAAAAAAGAAGTCTAAAACGATCTTTTTTTAAAGACGAGCCAAATTTTCCTTCGAAAAACAAAAATAACCGTATAATCAGAAAGTAGCGCAGTGTAGCGCCGCGGTTTTTTCCATTTACCGGTAATTATGAGGCCTCTGCATACTAAAATTTGTTCTATCCCACTCTATTTCTTCCGCTCTATAAGGTGGTGGTGTCCATTTTGCTCTATCTCCGCGCGCCGGTCTCTTCAACCGCTACCAACGGTAACACTTAAAAACATAAAATGTCATTTTCATGTATCCATTAATTTCTCTCTCTCTCTCTCCTACTGATCCTCATGGTGCAGCAGGGATTGTTAATTCCTGACATTGCTCTTCAAAAAAGTGTGCGAATTTCCAACTGGACAAGCACAACTGATGCCGTGTCAAGCAATATACCACCATCAAAAAAAGGTACTGAACAGCAGCGACACCTAGCTGTCTTCTCTGACAGCCAGGGTGCACTATACAGACGTACAACATTTAGTCCAGAAAACATGGTAACTGTCAATACCATTCACCAAATCGCTAGCCTATCCGAGCAGGGTATACAAGTGTCTCTATACTGGATACCTTCTCTTATAGGAATATCAACCTGTGACAACGTAGATGAGTTAGCAAAACAAGCACTTTCCCATGAAGAACCATATTATGCATTACCGCTATCTATCAGTCAAATGAAAACAAAACGTTATCAGCTGTCTTCGAGATTATGAGGGCTGAAAAATTGAAGAAAAGTGGACATGGTACCATCTGGCATTATGAAAGTATTGTCGGGTCATGTGATGCTGACAAACCATATAAATTCTACGATGGACTGTCTCGGAGACAGCAGGTCACGCTAACTAGGCCACGCTTAGGGTATCAATACACTATACATTATGTACAGGATGCAGTTTTGGAGGCAAAGCCAGTTACATATCACCAATGCAAAATGTGCAAGGCGCCCAAGTCGCATAATCTTACACATTACTTACTTTGTTGCTCAAAAACTATCATATCGATAAATAACAGGTCCAGAGACCGGCACTTATTGATTATATTAATTTTATCATAGACACTGGTCTTGTCTTCGATGTGATTAAGGATATAAAAGTTTTTTTTTACCAACTAGATGATGTGTGAATAATGTATGCATAATGACACAGCCCTTCAGGCATGTAGAACTAATGTTTGACTAACAGCCCTTTACATAAATATAAGCATAGCCAGTTGGATAGCATCTTACCCTGGCTTTTTGCAGGGCATGTACACTGTTCAGTAAATAAATATCATCAAATCAAATAAAAAATCTCTCGCTCTCTCTCTCTCTCTCTTCTAGTGCGAAATATACACAGAAGAGGAACGACCTGAACAACCAAGTAAGTGTCATTTAAGATTACTAAATAAGCAACTATGGCTTAAGACTGGTTTACTGCCTAAGAAGGAAGGGAGAATATTTTGGCTACAGAAACTTCTCGAAACACAATTTTAGGAAAGCAAGATTTTTAAAAAAACGGAATATGTAATAAATGATATGTCTAACAAATTCAAACATATATTTCTATTTCGCTTGAAATGACTATTTGGACTGTTAGAATATTTTTTCAATTATAAAAATCTAACAATTTGAGTAGCGGAAACCTTGCAGTACTGACCGGAATTCAGTAAAATCAATGCAATTGCACTTTTAACGAGATTATATGTATATATGTATATTTATATATACTTATATTCACTTTTATTCGAACATACGTATTAATTTTTTGTTTAAACACGTATACACATTCACACACATACAGGGTATATATGTATATACATATGAATACGTTTTTTAATACACATATATAGTGTATGTGTGTGAATGAGTGAGTGAGTGATGTGAGTGTGAGTGTGAGTGTGTGTGTGTGTGTGTGTGTGTGTGGGAGAGAGAGAGAGAGAGAGAGAGAGAGAGAGAGAGAGAGAGAGAGAGAGAGAGAGAGAGAGAGAGAGAGAGAGAGAGAGAGAGAGAGAGAGAGAGAGAGAGAGAGAGAGAGAGAGAGAGAGAGAGAGAGAGAGAGAGAGAGAGAGAGAGAGAGACAACAAACATCGAGGCTGGAGAATCAGAAACATTTTGAATATTTTGCACACCCAATAAAAATCAGCTTGTGCATTCCGCAAGCTCTACTGCAGACTCATAATCTACACATATTATGGTTATCTACACATTTTACTGAGAATAAAAACTCTTACTGTTTCATTCACTAAACTTTCGGTGGCAAGCATTAATCTTGACAGTTGTAATTTGAATGGCTGGGACATTTTGATATAATTTCTTCGGTTTGATTTCCTTCCTGTTGTAGATATTTGTAAAATTATTTCAACCAATCACAGTCATCGTTACAGACACGTCTCTCCTTCACGGAATACTACATACTATATATGTATAGCCAGATAAAATTGTCATCTCCAGTTGGAAATGTCCGCAACCGGATATGCATGTGTGCGTGTGTACATGTATGCATGCATATACATGTGTATGCCTTTGTTCCTTTCAAAATAAGACATAGTACACGTTGAGTATGGAAATATGAGCATCTATTTCGGTTGAAAATCGGCCTCAACTGCAACCCCATTAACGACCTCTGCCTTTTCCTCCTG